CCCAGGTCACGGAGGGAAAATGAAGCCGTATGGGTTATTATCGATAGATTGACCAAGACGGCTCACTTCTTGCCTATTAAGGCAACAGATGACGCAGAGACACTCGGTGTACTTTATGTGAAAGAGATTGTGAGATTGCACGGAGTTCCAGTGGCTATTGTGTCGGATAGGGATGCTAAGTTCACCTCGAAGTTCTGGGAAGGACTTCAAGCAGCGTTTGGCTCAGCGTTGCACCTTAGTACTGCATTTCATCCACAGACGGACGGCCAGTCGGAGCGTACCATCCAGATCTTAGAGGATATGCTTCGAGCCTGTGTACTTAACTTGGGTGGTAGTTGGGAGGATCACCTTCCACTTATTGAGTTTGCCTACAAGAATAGTTATCAAGCGAGTATTCAGATGGTTCCATTTGAGGCGTTGTATGGTAGACCTTGTAGGTCTCCTGTCTGTTGGACTGAGGTGGGCGAGACAACCGCTTTAGGACCCGACATTGTACTCGAGACTACCGAGAAGATTAAGCTGATCAGACAGAGATTGCTTACAGCTCAGAGTCGACAGAAGAGTTATGCAGATAGGCGGAGACGACCGCTATCCTTTGAGGTGGGAGACCATGTTTTTCTTCGGGTTTCTCCAAGGAAGGGGTTGATGAGGTTCGGGAAGAGTGGCAAGTTGTCGCTACGATTTATTGGACCTTTTGAGATCTTGGACCGCGTAGGAGAAGTTGCCTATAGACTAGCATTGCCACCACAGATGGACAAGGTTCATAATGTCTTTCATGTGTCGATGCTACGGAAGTATGAGCCAGATCCGTCTCATATTTTGAGTTGGGTTGATGTGGACATTGATGAGGATGTTTCCTACGAAGAGGGACAAGTTCATATTCTTGACGCACAACAGAAGGTGTTGAGGAAAAAGACGATATCGTTGGTAAAGGTTCTTTGGAAGCATCATGGAGTTGAGGAGGCTACTTGGGAGCTCGAACAGGAGATTCACTCCAAGTATCCAGAGTTGTTTTCTCCCTCAGGTATGGCCTGATTTCGGGGACGAAATCTTTTAAAGTTGGGAAGAATGTAATGTTGTGATATATATATATATATATATATATATATATATATATATATATATATATATAATGCTAAAGAAAAAGAAATAAAGCAAGTGGGCCCCACCCATGTTTTAAAACACACAAAAAGTGTATAAGGCATTACATGACCCACGACCCAACTGTTTTCTCTCTCTTTCTCTGCTGCATCTTTCCTCTCTCGGCATCTCACTGCTTCTTTTTCTTTTTGCAATCTCAAAGCTTGATCTAGCTTTAAACTTTTGGATTTTGGTAGAGCATTGTGAAGCAAAGTTGGAGAGCTCGTCAAGGCCTTCAATTTGATAGGAGCCAATCATCATTTGGTGCACTCTAGGGAGTTCAAAATTCTAGGGTTCTTGGGCTTGGATTTGGGGATTTTGGGAGTTTTCACTTCCATTGAGGTAGGGGTGTTCTAATCTACAATTTCTTAGTTTTTTTGTGAATTTTTCCCCTTAAATTTGATCCTATGCATGCTAATTTTGATTATCTAGTTTGTGGTTAAAGTATGTTTAATTAAAATGCTAAATGTGTTCCATGTGTTATTTGAATTCATATATATGACTAGATTTATTACGGTGATTGAGCATGTTTGGTGTTGACATATTGTATGTCCTAAGATTATGTATTTTTGATTTATTTATTGCTTTGAAAGAAAATGATGCTATGGTTAATAAATAAATAAAAGAAATGATTGCTTAGAAATTTCTATTAAATTGTGATAATGATGTAAATGAAATGTGTGATAGCCTATGGTTGAATTGATAAATTGAAACATGCACATTCATGCATTCATTAGGAAAGAGAAAGGAAAAAAAAAATATATATATATATATATGTATATATATATATATATATATATTTTTGAACAAACGAAATTATTTTGGGGAAAATATTTTTTTAAAGGAGTTTGCGAAAACCGGACGCCTAGGAGGCGCCTAGTGGTCCGTGGTGTTAGTGTAGTCTAGAAGGGATCATGGTTGAGCTAACTAGGCCGGATGCGACGCCTTGGAGGTGCCTTGGGTCGGATTACACTAACGGTTTTGGAAGTTGAAACGGAAATGTTTTGGAAAATGGGGAGTAACGTTTGCATATTGCACTTCATGACATTGTGGTAAACTTGTGATTGGGTGTTATTTGTTACATACTTGTTATTGTATTTGAGAGTGTATGTTTCCTTATAGCATGATCCCTTTCAATTTTAATTTATTCCTTGTATGGATTCACGGGGATATAAGAAGTGTGTCTTAGACACTTCCTACTGAGCTTATGCTCACCCCATTATTTCTAACATTTTTCAGGACATGGAAAAGAGGTGGCGGACGACGATCCACCACGATTTTAGACGAGCACGGAGACCTATTTTATTTTTTTTTTGCTATCTTTTGTATTAAAACTCTCTAATATTTTGTAAATGTAATATTAACTAACTCGTAAAACTTTAGTTTAATTAGTATAATGTTGTAAGCCATGGACTTTTAAATTCTAACTACGCTTTTTGGACTGTAACTTAATGTAACCAACGTATGTTCCTTGTTGGATGAGATGGAGGAATGGGATTTTGTATGTATGTAGTCACTTTGGAGATATGATATAATATATGTATATTGCGTTGGGACAGGATATGTTGGATTTAAGGCCTAAGGAGGCCATTGTAATTATTTTTTTGTATTTCAACAGGTTGTTTAGAAACATTTTCTGCGGAGGTCATGCCGAAATTTTTTATAGATTTTTATTATTATTTTGGTATCCCATTTGGGTCGTTACACAAGTCTAGAATCATCAAGCTTTTCTGCAGTTTCCAGTGTGTTTCTTTTGTGACTTCTTTCAGTTTTATTTCCGAGTGTTCTCTTTCTGTAAAATATTGTGTGAAGCGAGTATCCATGTACAAACAGTGTGTATCTCTGTATATATTTCTTATGAACTAAATCATCCAGTTTGCTTCCACTCCAAGAATTTTCTTATCCCTATTTAGTATTTTAAGCACTTTCGGGCAAAAGATTTTTGTCAACAAAAGATTAAATATATAGGTTTTATTTAGTCAGACAGTGTAGATCCTAGAATTTTCTTGAATCCAACCAGTACAAGCAGCCGTAGTTTTAAGTTAACAATTTCTTCTGTGAGTTGACTCGAACTGTTGGCTTGTTGGCCAGTTCTTTGCCGGTGTTCAGGCGTTTCTACAAGGCGTTATCAGGTTCGGTAGTCATTTCTGTTATTTAATTGTTATTTTATTTCTATGTTATCTTGCTTGCTTCTATTCGGTAGGATCCAACTCAATTTTGGTATCAGAGCTTATACTGTTTCGTTAAATTTAATTTATATATAAGATCTTTTGTCAAAGAAGTCTGTAAGTCCATATTAAGATATTGTGAAAATCTTACTTTATTCAAGGATCTTTTAGCAAGTATATTCCAAAATTTAAGGTCAATATAAAATAAAAATATTTTTAGGATCTCTTATAATATTATAAGTTGTTGAGTGGTTTAAAGTAAAAAGTAAAATCCATTTTAGAGAAATATTGCATTGGTCAAATCAATAATCGAAACTTTAAGACCTTGTTTCCATTTTAAAGTAACATTTGGACCTTAAGCCCATGTATTTATAAAAATCCCAATAAAATACTCTTATATACCTGCACTGACAACTACTGCAGCAGCAAAATTGTTCTAGCAAACTCTATCACCACAAGTACAATGTTATCCTACGCACCTAAAAATCACAAATTTATTTCCGGTGCTGCGCCGCTTCTCTAGACTAGTTGAAACAACAGTATGTACATGCTAAGTTGCTAATTGCTACCACGTCTGCCTTTCATCTAGAACTATGCCCTGCAGCTTCCCTACCTACCATGGAAGGCACCTGCCTCAGTCTATTGACAATTGCTACCACATCTGCCTTTCATCCTTGCCACTTCAGCACAGTTTGACAGCAAGCTGTAATTGCTTATCAATTTGAATTTTTTTTTTTTTCCTCTGCTTATTATTTGGATGAATGACTTAATTATATTCCTGTATAAGTCTTGGATGGTAAGCCCTCATTTTCTTCTTGTCTTCAAGCCAATCCCCTCCTTGTTTTTGCTCTAGATTATGGCCTATATATGTTCTGTAACTATTCACCCATTCTTAAATTCTACCGAATACTTCTAAACTAAACTAATTGCTGGCAACGATATTGATGATGACGACAACTACTCCTAAACTACTGGGATGTAGCAACTTCTTTGAAGCTATTTTGTGTGTGTTGTCAGGGGCTTTATCCAGAATTAATCCTCTCACTCTCAGACAAGTTTTAATGTGAAAAACTTTTAATGTTGTAAACAATGTAAGGTGTGTTTTCAAGTTTTCAAATTTTCTAAGTCAAGTCTATAGCTTTTTTTTTAATTTTTTTTTTTATCTTTTATTCCTTTTTTTATAAATAAAAAAAGAAAAAAGAAAGAGAAGGTCAAGTCCATATGGTTGTATAAAAATAATTTTGCCACTAAATTAACAAAGAGTCTGAAACTGGACAAAATGTGGTTGTATATTCTCTGCATCGTGTGGTGGGTGGTCTAGTCTATTGATTATCAATTTGGTTAGAGCAATTCATAGCTGTCTTACATGCCACTTTCTTTTTCTTTTTCTTTTTTCTGTTTTTTCCTGGTCTTACACGCCACTTGACTAGTATAATAAGCCACACTGCCACTTGACTAAGTATAATATTCAGGTATAATATTCAAGTATAATATTCAAGAGGACGGCTAACTGGGTCAACTCTTATCCCTAACGAAATGGTTAGTAGTCACTTTCCAATTCCCTATAAATGTGTGGCCACTTGTGAATTCAATAAACAAGCCTGAAAATCACTGCTAATTCTCACATTCCATCACATACAATTGGCCTGCTTTTGATCCTCCCCATTTTGCAGCTGCGAAAGCCAACTGAAAATGGCAGCATCATCATCATCATCAAGGCCTAATATTCACTCCCTTCCTGAACAAATCTTGATTCAGATCCTCGTTACACTACCGGCAAAATCACTGCTACAGTTGAGGTCAACCTGCAAATCATGGTACTCTCTCATCACCGATCGTACCTTCATTGATGCACATCTCAAATACCAGACGAGCTCAACCAACAACTATCTCCTCCTCAGGTACAAATATGAGCTGCATAACAATTATAATGTCTGTTACTCAATACGTTACGATGATGAATCGTTTGCTCAGTATTTTCAACCCGAGCTTCCACTAGATTTCAAAAACTTAGATATATACGGGTCTTGTAATGGGTTAGTATGCTTGTCTGAGAGACCATTAACTGCATCAAGCACCATATATTTATGGAACCCGGCACTTAGAATATTGAAAACCCTCCCAAAATCTCAAATAATTGATCTCCCTGTGGATACTCATAGTACCTTTATAGCCTTTGGCTTCGACTACCGTGGTAATGACTACAAGGTAGTGAAGTTTGTGTGCGTCCGACCAGCCACGGATGATCCATCCAACACTCCGTTCCTGGTTGAGGTTTATAGTCTAAGCACGGACTCTTGGAGAAAAATTGATGTCTCTGCCCCTTCGTGTTGTATTGCTGATTGGCAACCTACAATCATGAACGGAGCTGCCTATTGGACTGCATATAGGAAAACCGAGGGGAAATTGGTTTATAGTCTTTTGCAATTCGGAATGTGTGATGAAGTTTTTACAGAGGTAATGCTGCCGGAAGGTAGTGCTCGGTGTAGATATCCATGTATTACGGTCTTTGGGGAATCACTGTGTCTTTATAATTTTGGTTGGAGTACATTGTGCGAGTGTGATGTGTGGACAATGGAGTGTTGCAAAATGGGAACTTGGACAAAACGATGTACTGTTAATTTTTCGGATCTGAATTTGACACAGATAGGCTTCAGAAGGAACGGCGAACTTCTGCAAGTAAATCACAAAAACGATCTGGTGTCTTATAATCTTGAGAACCAGCAAGCTACGGATACTGGAATCCATGCTCGTCGAATTTCTTATCTACATTCTTATGTGGAGAGTCTTGTTCTACTTGACAAGGGAGATTCGTTTTTCACATCATCCTCATCCTAGCAGATTTTTGTGATGCCACAAATGATAAGAAGAAATTGTGAGATATGTATGTTTTTTTTTTTCGGTAAATAAGAGGTGAGGTGAGTTATTTACTCATCTTAGTCATATTTTTAGACTTGTGTTCGTTGTTTCTTCTTTTGTTTTTGTTATTGTTGAGGCAGATGTAATGTGAAAGTTAAATCTGCATCAAAATTCCATTTTGAATGATAATGTATTTCAATTTGAAAATGGTGTCATTGTATTTGTGTATTGTTAAACTTTTCGATTCTCCAAGTTACCTTTATATCGCTGAAATACCACATGTGCAGGTGGCATGTTGCTTAGTAATTTCTTGCGTTTTGGGGAGATTCAAATGAAAATCGCGTGTAATTTAATCATATCAAGCATTAAATCATAACTACTTATGAGTTGTTATAGTCTTGAATGAGGGTAGAAGTACAGGGAAGATTGATTGTGCACTTTTTAAATGTAAAAAAGTTATAAGTTTATCTCATAACTTGGTTCTTCTCTGATTAATTCTTTTTTTTTTTTCTTTTCCCTGAACTTGTAGAATTATTTCAATGTATGGGTTATATCTAACACAATTTCAGTGGTCCTGTTTTATATTCGTTGCTGTCAATGGTCCCACACCCAATTAATTGCTAGCATTTGGAACCTACCCAATTCTTTATTTGATTCTAGTGAGAGGAATTGTTCTTCTCGCCTAACCTAGTGTTGTAGCTGTGAGGTAGGTTACTGTATCCCTAGTTTGGTGCCCTACTGCTTGTCTCTGTCCAAATGTTACCCTAATTTTGTTGATGGTTCCCGCCTTTCCTTTTGATTGACAGTTACTGTTTTTGCGGGTTGGGCTTTGCCCTCCAATTGTTTTGGACATTTCTTTGGGCTTATACGCGAGTTACTTGGTTTAGCACAGGTCTAAGGGCTGGCCACAAGTCCACAATTCCATTGAGTCTAGTTCGGGATCGATTTTCAAGCAGACATGTTTTTTCTATCTTTTAATTCCTTGACAAACAACAATATGCGGGCACGGATGGATAGTGAGGCATGATTCTGCTGAAATTTTTTGTTATTATATTTTATATTTTTAAATTTGTATTTTTTTGTATTCATGTTCATAAAATTTTAAAATTAAATTATAAAAAACTCCTCTATATAATATCTAACTTGTACCAAAAAAAAAAAAAAAAAAAAAAAAAAAAAAAAGAGTTTGATCATTCTTTTAGCATCTATGTTGTTTCTTTCCGGCATGATCGTCTATCCTTATCCTTGACTAGATAAGTGCCGGATGCTCTTGTAGCTTGCAGACAATATTGACTTGAAAATATAATAACAATAATATAAAAAATGACCATTTTTAGCGTAAGTAAATAGTAAATGATTGTGCAATTTTTAAATGTGAAAAAGTTATAAGTTTTGGTCAAAACTTGGATCTTTTCTGATTAATCTTGTGTGTTTTTTGTTAGACGGATTAATCTTGTGTCTAGGTGGAGCACTATTTGGAATTGACCACAATACTCTTAGAGGACTTTAGGTTCGGGTAAGGATTCTATTAGCGATTCGGACCCTCAGATTCGGATCACTATAATATTATTGTCTTCTTACATATTTACTACCGACACAACTCATTCTTTTTTTCTTATAGAGTTTAGGTACTTTATATTTAACAAGCTATTATTAATGACACTGAGACTGTATAAATCACTTTTGGTAAGACAAGTATTTATATGTAATTAACTTACCTTCTTTTCTTTTCTTTTCTTTTTTTTTCATTTTTTTTTTTTTTTTTTTAAGGTTTAACACGATTGGATAGTGTTGTCTTCTCATATATTCAGAACCATTTGACTACACTGCTCATCTTTTTTCTCTTACAGAGTTTAGGGTTTAACACTATTTCATATTATTTTCTTATGTGTAATACTAATTAATATAGCCTGATTGGTAAGTGCTACAAGACCTAGTGCATTGGAACCCATGGTCATGGACCCGAATCCATTAGTATAAAACATTTTCTTTTCCAAATGAAATCTTCTAAGGTCCGTTTCGTTAGCGTCAAGTAATCACTTGATTAACCTAAACACATTTCGATAGCGCTATCTTCTCACATGTTTAACTATACGGCTGCTCATGTCATATATTAAGCATAGTTGAACCGTGGCCTAACTACACCATTCATCTTTTTCTTTTAGATTTAACAATATCCTATAGTGTTTGTTTACTCATATATTCATCACACTGTTCAATTTGGCAATAGCATGTTTGGGTACTCTTTGCACACCTTTGACCTGTTTTTGAACCTGCTCTGCCGTGCTTTGAATGACTATTGGTGTGGTACATAGTGGATTTGATTTCATAGTCGGCTTCTTGGGCCTATGTGTTGGACTTGTTGGTTTTGTGTAGTTTTGTTTTTTCTTTTGATATGTTCTTTCTTTCCGGCATGATCGTCTATCCTTACCTTGACTAGATAAGTGACGAATACTCTTATAGCTTGCAGACAATATTGATGCCACAAAGGATAAGAAGAAATTGTGAGATATGTATGTATTATTTTTTTTATTTTTTTATTTTTCATCGGTAAATAAGAGATATGTTCTTACTTCTTTTGTTTTTGTTATTGTTGAGGCAGATGTAATGTGAAAGTTAAATCTGCATCTAAATTCCATTTTGAATGATAATGTATTTCAATTTGAAAATGGTGTCATTGTATTTGTGTAAAGTTAAACTTTTCGGTTCTTCAAATTATCTTTATATCGCTGAAATACCACATGTACATGTGGCATGTTGCCTAGTAATTTCTTACGATTTGGGAAGATTCAAATAAAAATTGCATGTAATTTAATCATATCAAGCATTAAATCATAACTACTTATGAGTTGTTATAGTCTTGAATGAGGGTAGAAGTACAGGGAAGATTGATTGTGCACTTTTTAAATGTAAAAAAGTTATAAGTTTTGCTCATAACTTGGTTCTTCTCTGATTAATCTCTTTTTCTTTTCTTTTTTTCTTGAACTTGTAGAATTATTTCAATGTATGGGTTATATCTAACACAATTTCAATGGTCCTGTTTTATATTCGTTGCTGTCAATGGTCCCACACCCAATTAATTGCTAGCATTTGGAACCTCCCCAATTCTTTATTTGATTCAAGTGAGAAATCTGTTCTTTGACAATTACTGCTTGTCTCTGTCCAAATGTTGCCCTAATTTTGTGGATGGTTCCCGCCTTTCCTTTTGATTGACAGTTACTGTTTTTGCTGGTTGGGCTTTGCCCTCCAATTGTTTTGGACATTTCTTTGGGCTTTCCTTGGGCTTACACGCTAGTTACTTGGTTGAGCACAGGTCTAAGGGCTGCCCACAAGTCCACAATTTCATTGAGTCTAGTTCGGTTGATCGATTTTCAAGCAGACATGTTTTTTCTATATTTTAATTCCTTGACAAACAACAATATGCGGGCACGGATGGACAGTGAGGCATGATTCTGCTAAATTTTTTGTTATTGCATTTTATATTTTTAAATTTATATTTTTTTGAATTCATACTTATAAAATTTTAAAATTAAATTATAAAAAACTCCTCTATATAATATCAAACTTGCACCAAAATAAAATATAAAAAAAATAAAATAAGAAACAGAGTTTGATCATTCTTTTAGCATCTATGTTAGTTTCTTTCCGGCATGATCGTCAATCCTTATCCTTCACTAGATAAGTGACGGATGCTCTCGCTGACAATATTGACTTGAAAATATAATAACATTTATAAAAAATGACCATTTTTAGCGTAAGTAAATTATAAATGATGGTGCAATTTTTAAATGTGAAAAAGTTAATAAGTTTTGGTCAAAACTTGGATCTTCTCTGATTAATCTTCTGTTTTTTGTTAGACTGATTAATCTTGTGTCTAAGTAGAGCACTACTTCAAATTGACCACAACGTCCTTAAATGACTTTGGGTTCGGATAATGACCCGGTTAACAATTCAGACCCTCAAATTCGAATCATTACAATACTATTGTCTTCTTACATATTTAGTACCGGCACCACTCATTCTTTTTCTCTTATATAGAGTTTAGGTACTTTATATTTAACAAGCTATTATTAATGACACAGAGACTATATAAATCACTTTTGGTAAGACAAGTATTTATATGTAATTAACTTACCCCTTTTTTTCTTTTTCTTTTTCTTTTTCTTTTTTTTTTTTTTTTTTTTTTTTTTTTTTAAGGTTTAACACGATTGGATAGTGTTGTCTTCTCATATATTTAGCACCGTTTGACTACACCGCTCATCTTTTTTCTCTTACAGGGTTTAGGGTTTAACACTATATTTCATATTATTTTCTTATGTGTAATACTAATTAATAGAGCCTGAGTGGTAAGTGCTACAAGACCTAGTGCATTGGAACCCATGGTCATGGACCCGAATTCATTAGTATAAACACATTTTCTTTTCCAAATGAAATCCTTTAGATCCGTTACGTTAGTGTCAAATAACCACTTGATTAACCTAAACACATTTCGATAGTGTTGTCTTCTCACATGTTCAACTATATAGCTGCTTCTGTCATATATTAAGCATCGTTGGACCGCGGCCTAACTAAGCCATTCATCTTTTTCTCTTAGATTTAACAATATCCTATAGTGTTTGTTTAGTCATATATATATATATATATATATATATATATATATATATATATATATATATCACACTGTTCAATTTGGCAATAGCATGTTAGGGTACTCTATGCAGACGTTTGACCTGTTTTTGAACCTGCTCTGCCATGCTTTGAATGACTACGGGTGTGGTACATAGTGGATTTGATTTCATAGTTGGCTTCTTGGGCCTATATGTTGGACTTGTTGGTTTTGTGTAGTTTTGTTTTTTCTTTTGAGGGGGAATTCCCCTTTTATATGTTCTTTCTTTCCGGCATAATCGTCTATCCCTATCCTTGACTAGATAAGTGACGAAAACTCTTGTAGCTTGCAGACAATATTGACTTGAAACGAA